ATCCTATATTTACCTAATTAAAAAAATACATACAACCCTTTAATTTTTTATTTAATCACTTGAAAATCAATTCCCCTTGAGGAATTATTTCTCATAATTAAATAAAGTCAATATTCATGAATATCACACAAAATTATAAGCATCATAATTCATGAAATATTGCAATTATGTTTACTACTAAAATTAATATTCATCAACCATTATGGTTAGGCCACTTTGGTAGCTACCAACCTTTACATAATATGAATATTAAATTAGATAGTAACTAATTTATGATTAATTAGGTCTAATACAAAAATTAATATTCATCAATCATTATAATTGGGCCACTTTGGTAGCTACCAATCTTCACATAATATGAATATTAAATTAAAAAGAGATTAATTCATCATTAAGTTATATTTACTACTAAAATTAATATTCATCTACCATTATGGTTAGGCCACTTTGGTAGATACTAACCCTCACATAATATGAATATTAAATTAGCTAGTAACTAATTAATTATTAATTTACCCATTTAACATTATACACACATACTCATAATTGTCGATTGAAGTTTAAGCAACTTCGATCTCAAAAACTTAATAGTCCGAAATTTCATAGAAAATATCTCTTTATTTTATATACATAATAAAACATATTATTTTATTTTCGGACTTAAAAGATCATAATTGAATCAATCTAAAATTAATTCTCCATCATATATGTATGTTTGAGTATAAAACAATAATTCATTATGTCTAACAAAAATTAAATTAAATTAAATGTCTAAACTCACACATTATTCTAGAAAAAATAAATACACATACTTGATGTATTTAATAATTTATTAATTTTTTAAATAATACTAAGAATAATAATGAGTCTTTGTAATCTGTTGACAGCTAAGTGTTTCTTTAAAACAATAATAGGACAAATGCTATTGTTTTTTAATTCCATATTCTTTGTTAGTCATGCATGAAAATCAGTAACACATATAAGTTGTTTGCCACACATTATACATATATTTGTATTATTACACATATGTAAACTATATGTATTAGTAATCAAATCTCATAATTCAATTTTGGCACGAAAAACAAGGTACCCAAACCCACAAACCACACGGATTGATCTAAACATACGATTTGAAAAGAACACATTATACAATCATTTAATTTTAAATTTATACATATTATTTATGCAACTTTAATGAAAAATAATGAGTTCCTAAACCATAAGCTCTGATACCATATGTAAACTATAATTTATTCATGTGAAGCCATTCAATCACAAATAAACATGAACCCTAAAATCTTTGAACTTCATTATTTTCACATTACTATAATGCATAAATAAAGTAGTTAGATATAAATACCTCGATCTGTAATTGTAAACATCTTGTTAAGATCAAATCCAACTTCTAGATCCTTTAACCATGAACTAATCTGCAACTCTGATCAACAGGCAAAGGTGGAAACTGGTTTATCTCTTTTGGCCTTTTGCACATATAAAACTTTTACGTGTTGTATCATTAATCGTACATAATTGATAGAGTATATGCACTTTTATAAAGGCAGAGAGAGGACCAGTTTTCCTTTTAGTAACATAATTCTACTTTCCATCAAAATAAGAAATAAGAAAGGAAAACACTTCTACAATAAGTAATTACCAAAAAGGTAATTATAAGTTGACCATAAAATATAATATTAATCTGATACCTATTTACTTAACCATTAATTAATGAAATATATCACATTTCCAAAATATGTGAACCACAATTAAATAAATAATCTTACAAATCTACCCTGCGCTATAGTAACCAATGCAATCACAATAATATCACTTGTCTTCTATGGGATGAATGTAAGCCTAGCTTGTTTTGCTCTAGTTTTAATGAACTAGCTAGCTCTAAAACAATAAAATAGTTCTAAGATAACTAAGTTTACATAGGCATAAGATTTTATTTATTTTTCCAAACAAATAATTATACACGCATACAAATGTTTTTATGAAAACTTAAATCCTTAACTTTGCATTTTGAAAATTAGAGAAAATAGCATAGCCATTGATTGAGCGACATGTTATTTCCTTAAAAAAGCTATTTCCTTTTGAGTCTGAATTGTATGTACTTTATTTTTAGCTAGTCTGGGATTTTAATACATTTTGCTAATAACAATTACAATTACAGGCCAACCATATATTTGAGAATTTATGCCAAAATGTCATGCATGCATTACCCATGGCTGTGATGCATCTTTTGAACAATTATCTAAAACACTACCTTTTTGGAACAAGTATTCTGTAACAGCGGTCCAAAACCACACAATAGATAACATTTAGACATATTTAACATGGTTTTTTTTTTTTTTTTTTTTTTTTTTTTTTTTTTTTTTTTTTTTTCAGCTGCAAATTTTGTACTATAGTATTATTCCAAGAGTTTTTCGTTAATAACATGTATCTTATTAAGAGAAGACACTCTAGAGGATCAGAGTTTGGCATAGACTACAAATGTAAACAAGTAAAAAGAAACACAACGCAACACACATACCTGATAGCTGGTGGAAACTCTATGCTAGAGCTGAAATTCTTCATTTCCTTGATGTACCTCCTCCAGTGGAAAAGTCTACAAAACCATGAACGAATATGGGCTCACCAAATTTAGCTTCTTCGCCTGCTCTTTTTCGTCCTCTGTTTCTTTTGGTTCCTTCCAAAGGTGCTGACATGTAACATTTCTGATTGTTGCCATTTTTCATTTTCTGAAATTTTTCATTTTTCGGGCGGACAGTCCCGAGTGGGACCCGCTGTCGGAATCGTTGTGTACGGGGATTTTATTTTGTGTCCATTGCATACCATACATGATTATTCGTTGTGTGCTATTTTATATGGTTTGTGTGCATATATATGTATAATTGTGGTGAAATAATTAAAAGGAAAAAGATATTTTTAATGTAGTGAACCCCACCAGTACTATTTTTGGTGGTCAAGAGGCATTGTTTGGCCTCATTCTCTTCTCCCTCACTCGGCATTCTATCTCTCTCTTATTTTCACTTCATTTTTCTTTTTCTTCTTGGAAGCAAACTTCAATCTCAAATTTCTTTCTCACCTTTTGGAGTTTTTGGATGCTGTTTGCGGCAAATTGAAGAGCGCGTCAAGATCTACGGTTTGATAGGAGCAATTCCTTATTTAGTGCACTTGGGAATTCTGAAAATTCTAGGGATTTTTTTGGGGTTTTTCATCATTTTAATGATAGGGGTATCTAATTCCCAATTTCCTGTTCCTTTGTGAATTTTTTTTTTTAATATTTGTTGTCAAGCATGTTCAATTTGAGTTGATTGTCTTGAAAATGATATTCTTGTTGTAGATGAAACCTATGATTATGTGTCTTAATTAAATTGAATAAAAAACATGTCTAAATATTAATTTTCATGATATGGTGTTTAATATCTTGCTAGAAATTGCTATGTGGAAGCATGTTAAATTGTGTAATAGAAATTCTTTTATTTTCATAGTAATGTCAAAATATGTGACATGCATTCATAGCATTGGGCATGGAAAAAGGGTAAAATTATTTGAAGTAAAAGGGGGTTTTGGGGCAAAGTTTTGGTTAAAGTGATTTAATGAAAAAACCCGGTCGCCGCGGAGTTACCAAAGGGCCGTGGTGTTAATATAACCTAGAGGGAACTAGGGAAATTACTCTAACGTGGTTGAGCTATCTGGGCCCCAAATGACAACGCGGAGGTACCAAGGGTCAGTGATAGTAGCCAAACATTCTCTCGTGTCGCTGCAGAGTCACCAAAGGACAGGTTATGCTAACAATTTGAAAAGTGGAGAATGGAAGTGATTTTGAAAATGGGGAGCGGCATAACATGGTATTACATTTCATGGCACGGCATCGTTTGTTTTGAACTTAAAGTTGATGTTGTATTTTCCCCCGACATAGCATGATCCCGTTCTCTATTGTTCTATTCAATATTTGGATTCACGGGGTTATAAGAGGTGTGTCTTAGGCACCACCTACTGAGCAATTTGCTCACCCCTTTATTTTTAACATTTTTCAGGATACGGAAAAGAAGTAGCGGACGACAATTTACCTCAACCTTAGCTTGGAATAAGAAAAAGTCTCTTTTTGCTATCTTTTGTATTTGGGCCTAATTTTGTGAAGTGTTGACTCAAAATGTATTGTTTTACAACATATGGAGTATTTAGATTCATTTTGTGTATGGCCATTAGGGAAATGTAATTAAGTTTAACTACACTTAATCCTTTAGTGTATTTTTTTTTTATATATAACGTGTTGTGATTCATGTTAACAATGTGGTTGATGTTATTATATTAGGTGTTGAAATGTATTTAAATATGCACATGAGCATGGTGGTATTGGGTGATTGGTTATCAAAGTTGGTGTATCTTGGTTTCCTTCGGAGGCATTTTGAGTTTGGATAACCCAACCAGTCGATGTGAAATCCATACGTCGACCGAATGACCTGAACCAGTCGACGTGAATTTCCCACACGTCGACCGGTATCTTGACAGTGTGTTTTTCTATCGTGCACGTCACTAACCAGTCGACGTATAGCCTCCCACACGTCTACCGGTATCTCCTATTTTTGGGCAGTGAGCACTATCACTGTGCATGACCCAAATCAATTGACATGAAATGTATATACATCGGCCGGTTCTTGTGTAGTACATGTTTGTGGCTTATTTTCCTATTTTGCCCTTAACCACTCACTTAAGTGTATTGTCACACATTATAAGGCCAATAATATACAATAATTATATTTTAACCATAGAAAAGACTATATTGCCTTATATCTTACCTTATTTATTATGTGACACGAGTAAATGACTATTTTACCCTTGGAGTCTCAAAACATTAGAATTGTGACAAATGACCATCTTGTCCTTATTAGACTTAAATATTTAATTTGACGTGAAAGTACCGTATTAGTCTTGGATGATTCTGGGTCAGGTAAGGACCCGTTTAATGATCCGGATCCAGTAGATTTGGGTCGTTACATGACAAACCATTCATGATACCTTGCGACAAGAGTGTGCCCAATGATCAACCCAACTACTAACCCACCGCCATAGCCCATGCATATCACAATCCAATCACTTTTATCAATTGCAAGCCATGAATGATCACTATCTTGTTTGAAGTTCGAAAGTAGTGGTGGTGGTAGCAACGTGTCTGAGTTGTCACATTTGTTCAGCAAAGGGTCTCCACACAATCCCAAATTCCCCTCATAGGAATTGTTTGGAAGTGTATTGAATTGCCTCCCTCGTGGAATCGGCCCTTTGAGATGATTAAAAGAGACATTGAAGAATTCAAGGATCATGAGCTGGGTTAGTTGCTGAGGTATCTCTCCTGAGAGCTTGTTTTGAGAAAGGTCCAACGATTCAATCTCTGTTAGATTCCCCAACGAAGATGGAATTTGACCAATGAGATTGTTGTTGGAAAGGTTTAGCATGTGAAGACTCTTAAGAATCCCAATAGATTCTGGAATCTCTCATTCAAATTAGTTACTTGAGAGATCAATGGCAGTGAAGATATTTAGGATATACAAGTACACTATTCCACACCTTTGTTGGTTAGTGTCAATGCGTAAGTACTGTTATTGTTAACAAATTTGGCTGCACTCCTAATATCTGTTGATTCATTAACATCAATAGTTCTCATGGCTGTTAAGGTATGGAAGTAATCGGAAGGTAACTTACCAGTGAAACCATTGTGAGAGATGTCAAGAATGTGCAATTTGGAGAAAGCCAAACTAGAGTTAGGGTTCCATATTGCACCATGGAATCTATTGAATCGCAAAATCAGAACCTTCAATTCTGGAAGTGTTCCAAGCCAAAAGGGAAAAATGTCATCGATCTGATTGTTTCCAAGATCAAGACTCTCTAGAAGTGAACAATTGACCAACGAATTTGGCACTGGCCCTTGCCATTGGTTTTGACTCAAGTTGATCATACTCAGCTTGGTTCCATTCTTGTATGTTTGAGGAATGGGGCCATGTAATTTATTGTTTTGAAGATTCAATAACTCCAAAGAATCAGCAAAATTGCCCAAACATTGGGGAATGATGCCACTCAGATTATTATAAGATAAATCCAGGACATGAAGAGAACTCGCATTGCAGATCAATAGTGGAATCTCCCCAGTCAATTTATTGTTTGCGACATTGTAAATGCTGATGAATGATGGTGGGACAAGGAGTGATCCTTGCAGCATGTTAGAACTAAGGTCTAAAAGCCATAGCCTGTTCCATGGAAGGACTAATGGATGATGTTGGTGAAAGGCGCCAATTTTTTTTTTTGGTAAGTAATAATGTATTAGAAAGTATTCAAAAAGGGAAACGCATCTCAAAAACTATACAAAGTCCAAAGGGAACCAAGGAGCCCAAAAAATCGACTTTCTCCTTTAAAGATTTACAATTTCTCCCCATTACCCAACAGAAAAGAGAGCTAATAGTAAGAAAATTTAAAGCCCCAATAGAAGATTCCTTTCCATCTCCGGTCCCTCCAATTCATAGATAATTTAAAATGAGTTACATGTAGGGGTGTAAGTTGGGCGGGTTCAACGTGGCCCAACCCGAACCCAGCCCGAAATTTTCAGGTTGGGTTTTTAATTTTACTAATTCCGGTTTTGATTGGGTTGGAAGTTTTCAGCTCGAGCCCATTTTGGGTTGAAACCTTTCTAACCCGAGCTTAACCCAAACTCGATTTTCATATATTATACAATTTTTGTTTAATTTTAAATTTCAGATTAAATCCTAACCTTCTATTTTATCCATCAACGGTTGTGCTTGATACATCTCTTAACCTAAAACTCTCTAACCCATTTGTCTCTTTCATTCCACTGGGAATCTACCGCCGTCAACGACTCTCTCCGCTAGGGGTGGCAATTCATGTTGGCGAGTCACGTTCGTATCGTGTCAGAGCATAGGTATTATGTTATATGGGTCGACACGAATACAACACGATCATTATTCGTGTCAAGAAATCCTGATATGAACACAACACTATTATTACACGGATAACATGACACAACACATGTAACTCATTTAATAAATGGATCAAAACTTAACACGATATGACAAGGTACGTTTAAGTCATTTTTGACACGAACACGACATGTTTATTCAACACATTTGGCTAAACGAGTCATTTTTAATACGAATACGACACCTTTAGTTAAACGGGTTGTAAACAAAATAGAGAGAAAGATAGTAGCTATAGCTATAGGCATGATTGGTATGCTTGGTATGCCCATATATACCCAATATCCTCGAACATTATCCCCCACCCGAATTTGTAACGCCTTCGTTGCCAAGGGCAGATCTAGAAATTGTTAATGGGGTGGGCTAGCACTAGTAATATTTTTTTTTTTTTGGTGGGTTAATACTAGAAATAATAAAAAAAATTTGGCCGGGCAGAAAATAGTAATGAATTTTTTTTTTTTTTTTTTTTTTTTGGGTGGGGGGATGATATATAGACTGATACCAACTATAACGTGTCGGATGCTTGCTTTTTGACTCAAAATCTTAAGTTGTTGGGTTATGCTACATATCCACTCATATGCAGTGTTGGTAAAGGTGCACCTAGGCTCCAGACGCAACACTTGCGCCTTTAATATGGAAATATGAATATACTTTAATAGTAATCTAATTTTTCAATTGTGCACCCTCGTTTCACTCAGGCACGCGTCTCACCTTGTGCCTGCCCAACGCCTAGGCTCCAAAGGACCTCTAGCACATAGTGCGCCTTAGGCTTTTGATAGCATTGCTCATATATATTCAATATTCTCCCCATCTGGATCGGGCGTGGGACAAGAACCTTGAACACCTACCTGAATTCGCGACTCTCAATTGGCCGTCAAGAAACAAGCCTATTACCATACCCAAGATCCTCAAAACAACCACATCAATGGAACAGGAACATCACGTAATGCTTGAGGGCTCTAATTGTAGCTCTTGTTGGTAGTCTATTTCCCTTTTTTTTCTTTTTAAATCCTCTAAGCATCCGCATTCATCTAGTGAATACATTATTTCTTAGCTGCCAACCGAAAGTCCTGAATTCCATGGATGGTAGGCATACAACTGAAAGTCCTGAATTCCTCTGAATACTTTAGTGGAACTAAAGCAGAAATATTCTTGCTTAAGCTTTTTGAGAGAGAGGATAATGTGGAACCCAGTAAAAACATATTGGGACAGCGAGGAGCCATGGCGTGCATTATATGGTTGAATCTAAGATGTTCATGTGGTTTAGATGCTGAAATTGGGGTTATCATCTAATGCATCTGCTAAAAAACTTTAGATGTTGCTACCCACATCTACAGACCATAGCAAGGGGGGCAACATGACGCTTAGGTAGGACTGAAAAGTCAAACTCCTTGTTTATTGAATTTTCTTTTCCTTAGAAGAAGCAAACTACATTGTATTGTGTTTTATAAACTTTGTATCAACTTATTTTTGCAATGTACTGGTTCTTACTTATGTGACACACCTTGCCATTAATTCCTTTACCCAGATGAGTGAAAAGAATATGTTTCATCCTCTATTTTACATTATGCCTTGCTTGCGTTCCAGAGCAGCCCAAATGTCTTTTTGGGCGAAATTACCCTCTCAACGCCATATAATTGATTAAAAGTAGTTGAAAAGAAGAGTATTAATTGGTGTTTACCAACCTTTTTCTGACCAACGATGCTATAGAGTCTCTAGGGGAACAATACAATTGGCTAACATGAGAAATTATTGCACACCCCTGACAATAAAAAGGTAAGAGGTCTTTTTGTTTTGAAAAATAACTGAGTATATCCGGTTACTTTTTTTTTTTTTTTTTTTTTTGGTTGGGAGTGCTTTGAGCACATGTATCGGTCCTACAACATACACACCATTCAACTTAGGAGTACGATTTGAAAGCGAGACCTCAAGGATTTACCTCTTGAATTCCTGCTAACACCGATACGCCCTTAGAGGCAACATTTCTGGTTACTTGAGGGGGATTTTATATAAAAATAATAATAATAAAAGAAAAAAAATTCAAATAGAGATTTATTGCTAGTCTTTGCTCAGCCTTTTGATTATTCTGAATCCAATTGAATTTTTTTTTTTTCTTTCCTTCTCTCTTTACCAAAATTAAAATTAAAAAATCCAATAACAATTACTAGCCGACCGCTCAAGAATTTATGCCAAAATATTATACATGCATATCTTAAAGGCATATATACTTTTGAACAAATATCTAAAAACAATACTTTTGACTGTGTCCAACTGAACTAACCACACATGCAAACAAGTGAAGAAGAAATACAACACAACATATAAAAGATATAGTGAAGACAAACCTAGGCCTGATAGCAGCTGGTGGAAACTCCATGCTAGATCTGCAATTATTTTCTTGATGTCACCATGAAGATGAGCTCATCAAATTTAGCTTTTTCGCCCGCTCTTCTTCTTCCTTCTTTGATTCTTTTGGTTTCTTCCGAAGGTATCGACAAACCATTCATGATACCTTGTGGTCTGAGTGTGTCCAATGATGAACCCGACCACTAACCCACCGCCATAGCCCATGCATATCACAATCCAATCACTTTTATCAATTCCAAACCAGGAATGATCATCATCTTGGTTGAAGTTCGAAGGTTGTGGTGGTGGCAGTGATGCCTCTGAATTGCCACATTTCTTTGGCAAAGGGTCTCCACACAATCCTAAATTCCCCTCATATGAACTGCTTTCAAATGTATTAAATTGGCTCACTCGTGGTATAGCTCCTGTGAGATGGTTAGTAGAGACATTGAAGAATTCAAGGAACGCGAGTTGGGTTAGCTGCTGGGGAATCTCTCCCGTAAGCTTATTTTGAGAAATGTCTAATGATTCAAGCTGCATTAGATTCCCCAAAGATGATGGAATGTGACCAATGAGATTGTTGTCTAGAAGGGGGAGCATGTGAAGACCCTTAAGAATCCCAATAGAATCGGAAATCTATCATTCAAATCGGTTACTTGAGAGATCAATGGCAGTGAAGCTGTTTGGGATATACAAATACACTGTTAGCACACCTTTGTTTGTCAGTGTGATCGTGTAAGTACTGTAATTCTCATAAACATCCCTCTCTCTCCAGAGAGATTTCGATTGATTGACATCAATAGTTTTCATGGCTGTCCATGTGTGGAAATAACGGGAAGGTAACTGACCAGTGAAACCATTGTGAGAGAGGTCAAGAATCTGCAATTTGGGGAAAGCAAAACTGGAGTTGGGGTTTAATATTGAACCATGGAATCTATTGAATCGCAAAATGAGAACCTTCAATTCAGGAAGTGTTTCAAGCCAAGAGGGAAATATATCGTTGATGTTATTGTTCCCAAGATCAAGACTTTCTTGAAGTGAACAATTGACCAACGATTTTGGCACTGTCCCTCGCAATTGGTTTTGACTCAAGTTGATCATCCTCAGTTGGGTTCTATTCTTGAATGTTCGAGGAATGGGACCATGTAATTTATTGTTTCGAAGATTCAATAAATACAGATTAGAAAAATTGCCCAAGCATTGGGGAATGGTATCACTAAATTTGTTATAAGATAAATCCAGGACACCAAGAAAAATTGCATTGCATATCAATAGTGGAATCTTCCCGGCCAGTTTGTTGTTTACGACATTATAAACCCATGTGGATGGTGGTGGAACGGGGAGTGATCCTTCCAGCATGTTAGAACTAAGGTCTAAAATGGATAGTCGATCCCAAGGAAGGACTAAAGGAGGAGGTTGGTGAAAGCCGGTTATAAAGTTTTAAGAAAGGTCAAGGGTGTCTAGAGTTTGTGTACTCATGTTCCATATCCATGTAGGCAGGGGCCTTTGGATACGGTTGTTGCTGAGGTTTAAGTACAACTGGTCTTGAGTTTTCAAGAAATTTAGGAACTCAGTTAAGTTGCATGAGTTCAAATTAAGGGACTCAAACTTGGGAAGCGTAGCATTGATGAAACTAGTTGGGAGCAATGTTAATTGGTTACCTGAGAGCTCAAGAGTAGTAAGATTTTTCAGAGTAAGAAACACATCTAGCTCCACTGTTAGGTTATTACCATCAAGATAAATAACTTGCAGATTCACAAGTTGAGAGATTGACTCGTGAATTGGGCCATGCAACAAATTAAAAGAAAGTCGAAGATTTTGGAGTTGTGTAAAATTACCAAAGGAAGAAGGTATCTGACCTGTAAAATTGTTGAAAGAAAAGTCCAAATATAGCAGTTGCGTAAAATTACCAAACCAAGTCGGTATTGACCCTGAAAAATTGCATCTTTCCAACTCCAAATAATTCAAGGATTCAAGGAGTCCCATTGAATTTGGCAGTTCTCCAAAAAAGTTGCTTCTGAAAAGGTCCAAATATTGCAGTTGTGAAAAATTACCAAACCAGGACGGGATTGGCCATGAGAAATTGCATCCTGCCATCTCCAAATGATTCAAGGATTTAAGATGTCTTATTGAATTTGGTAATTCTCCAAAAAAGTTGCTTATGGAAAGGTCCAAATATTGCAGTTGTGTAAGATTACCAATCCAAGACGGGATTGGCCCTGAGAAATTGCATCCTGCCATCTCCAAATGATTCAAGGATTTAAGTTGTCCGATTGAATTTGGCAATTCTCCAAAAAAAAGTTGCTTCTGGAAAGGTCCAAATATTGCAGTTGTGTAAGATTACCAATCCAAGACGGGATTGGCCCTGAGAAATTGCATCCTGCCATCTCCAAATGATTCAAGGATTTAAGTTGTCCGATTGAATTTGGCAATTCTCCAAAAAAAAGTTGCTTCTGGAAAGGTCCAAATATTGCAGTTGTGTAAGATTACCAATCCAAGATGGGATTGGCCCTGAGAAATTGCATTATGCCATCTCCAAATGATTCAAGGATTTAAGTTATCCCATTGAATTTAGCAGTTCTCCAAAAAAGGTGTTTCTGGAAATGTCCAAATATTGCAGTTGTGAAAAATTACCAAACCAAGACGGGATTGGCCCTGAGAAATTGCATCTTGACATCTCCAAACGATTCAAGGATTTAAGTTGTCCCATTGAATTTGGGAGTTCTCCAAAAAAGTTACTTCCGGAAAGGCTCAAATAAAGGAGTTGTGCAAGGTTACCAATTGAAGCTGACAGTATTGAACCTGAAAAGGTGCATCCTGAGATGTCCAATTCATTCAACGAGTAGAGATTTCCAATTGAATTTGGCAGCTCTCCAGAAAAGTTTGTGCTCCCCAGCTCCAATTTCTTGAGTGGACTCCTCATGTGGAATTCAGGCAAGTACACGTTGAGATCTGGATTATTTTGCACGCTGAGAAACTGTAGGTTTGGTAACTTAAAAATGCCTGGTGGAAATTCACCTTGTAATTCACAACTTTGTAGAAACAGAGAAGTTAAAGATGAAAAATTAGCCAAATTGTGAGTTACTGTAGAAGACATGTTCACCCCACTGAGGTAAAGTTCTTTTAAACCCGTCACATTTTGAACTAAGCTTGTTAGACCAGGCTTAAGGAGCTCCGTTGAATTTCTTGAGAGATCAAGAAAAGTTAATTTGGTTAAACTTGAAATTTCCAATGGGTTTTGACCAGCAAATATGGAAAATGAGAGATTGAGATAAGTTAACCTCGAAAGAAGTCCAATGGCAGAAGGGATTTGAGATTCATTGAAGTAATTGTCAGCAAGGTTGAGTGTCTGAAGGTGAACAAGGCGGAAGAGGGTGCTGCTGGAGTTGATAAAACCAGACAGAAAGCTGCTACTGAGGTCAAGACCAATCTCAAGTGACACCGTCCCATGAGCAGCAATCACTGATGCTGGTATTCCACGATGCAACCTTTGGATAAGCTGAATCATCCACAAATATTCCTGCAGACTTTATAATAGAAAGGCTTTGATTGAAGTGAATCAAAGCAAAGCTGTCATCATAGTGGCAGAGTGGGTTTTGTTGGTGCAGAGAAGGGTAAGAGTGAACAAGCATGAAGTAATGAGATGTAGTGATGATGAGCAGGAAGAAGAGCAAGTAGTGCAAGAATAATATTGGTGAACAAGCCCCCATTCTCAATTATATGATATATAAAATTCTCTTTCTTTGGCACTTATATAAGTATATATGATAATCAAGAGGTGGTGTTTATATACAGAATAATAACAAAATGATATTTATATCCTACGTAATCTTGTCGAGTCAAGTCAAGTGGAGAGATATTAATTGAAATAACAAAGACTGGCAATTCTTTGTATTCGACAGAAGCACACATAGTCGTCAAGTCTCCCCTCTTAATTAAGTATTAGAACTTAAAACTACTACGTTTTTTTTCCACAAGGGACATCTTCCTCTAAATTTCCACTTCGCTACTTTCTGCCAAGAGATAATCACCACACTTGAAACACAAAAGATATTATTGGGCTAGATATGGTGTATACTAATTGATGTAAACGTGGGTTTTGGGATTAGAATAAAAATTCCACCCCACTACAATTGTACACTAATTATTTTATTATATTTTATCAAAAATAATACTAGTAATTATTTTAAGCTCTGAAATAATGGGGTTTCAAAAAATGACATTAGACCCCAAAAAAGTTTTGGATCTCACATTTTACTTGTTTTTCTTTTGTTTTTTTAGAAAAATAGATTAACAGAATTCTCCATGTACTCCAAACTTCATAATTAGTTTCACTCCATTTTATAGGATTAATTGTATTATTTTTTATTTTATTTAAAATATCCAAGTGTTGCACTTCTCTAACCCACCATGTTATCATCCCTAAAATGGAGGTCAATAAACGCACTAAAATAAATGTGTGTGTATGTTAGTAATTTACCAAACATGCATAGCGGTATTAAATTAGCGGCACGTATTATACTTTAAAATCCCATGTTGCCCATTTTCAAACCAATTTTCTTCACTCTCGAGCCCTTTCTTTCCATTATAGAACTCATGTAAGCATTTCATTGAACATTTAGAATGCACAAGTGTATGGGCCTATGCCAAAATATAAATCACCCCACATTTTTTTTATCACAATACCACTCGAATCATCCAAGCATGCAAAGCTTCCAATCATTAAGTTCAAATCAAGCCAAATCACACTTAAATCCAAGAAAAATGCAAATACATTAAGGCTCCGTTTGTTTGGATATAAAATATTTTCAGAAAATATTTTTTTATTTTCTGGTGTTTAGTTGTCGTAAAATATTTACGAAAAAAAATATATTAAAATTTAATAAAAATAATTTATTCATCTATTTTCGACAAGTTATTTTACATGTCCCACACGATGGACTCTACCTGAACCTCAACGTAGACCTTTGCCAAACACCGACAAAGTAAAAATAAAAGAATATTTCATCTGAAAAAGAAAAATATTTTTCAAAAAGAATATTTTATATCAAAACTAACGGAGCCTAATTCATATATGAATTTTATTATTATTATTATTATTATTTGGAAGAGTAAATCAATTAATTGATAAGAAGAAAAAAATATGTATAAAAATTGGCCCAAACATAAGGCCCAACCCATGATTCTTCAAAGATGTAATGGTATCCGGGTCATACGTTTCTCCTTTATATATATACACACACACACACATTTAATGATGATTTACACATGCCATATATGTATAATTTTCAAAAGTTCAAATACACACCCATAATATTGATTATAAAATTTGATTTTGATAATATTAAATACTTAATCATTTTTATTTATTTATTTATTTTGTCCTTAAAGAATTAGTACTGAACATGGAGAAGACTCATGTTACCCACTATATTAAAATTAAAGACATTATTTTACTTTCTTTCATCTTCAAATCCAGTTTACATCTACAAAAAAATCGACATTATAAATGGGGCAAGTTGATCCAACACCATATGATAATTTTATTTTATTTTATTTTATTTATTACAAGATAAGAAAGGTTAAAGTTAGATTAGTAGATTTAGAGACTCAAAATTTGACACTCCAAAGTCTACTAACCCACTGAGCTATCGAGCATCTGCCTTTTCTTATATATAGGAATAACAAAAGGCAAATTGTGACAATATTGCATGTAATTCAATTCTGAAATGCAAAAGTAATTTTTATTTTTCTTAAAGTGAATTAAAGCACTATCATTTAATGTAAAACAATGTTAAATATCTGGTTTGCTTCCATATTCAAAGAGAAATGAGGCTTGTTTCTCATCTCCTCAAGAATAGTGCTACTATGTTGGAGAAAATTGTGATACAATGGAACTATAATTGTTCGCCACGGAGCAGTCACCACGAAGAGCTTGAGATCATTAGGGAAGTATTAGTACTAAATATGGAGATGAGTATCTTTGTCTCTCAGATTTGCATATTTTACGTGCTGAATTAGACTTAAACGATATCGAAGATATTATCTTACACTCTTTTATCTTCAAAATTGGTGTCCATCGACAAGAAGTAATCATCAGAAATCGGCGAATCATAGAACCACAGTTACGTGATAGTAATGACAAAGGTTTTTTATTTTTTCTAATTATTATTATTTTTAATGTAGTATTCTTATTATGTTTTTTAAACTATATATCTCAATCAGGCCAAACCAAATTATAGAGAAAACATACCTCCATGTTCCATATGATGAGTCTGAGTTTTGCAGGAAAAGAGAGGGAAATGAGGCTTGCTTCTCGTATCATCAAGAATGCTACCATGTCGAAGAAAATTGAGATACAAGGCCTAGACCGCCCAGCTATATGAGCGCATAACCGATGATGAACCAATTTAGAGTTTAATAAGTTTGTCTCATAAAATGAAAATGTCAAGCCTGCCCATATTTTAAAAACTGTTGATTTATTGAATTTGATTTGACAATTTCTCGAGTATTTATAAGACCACATAAATAAATAACTATGCTAGAAAAGTGATACATTCAAATAAATCAAAAGTAAACTTTATTTTATAGATTATTAATCAATTATAGTAGGAGATTGTTGATTTACATTTAAGTTTAAATCTTAAAAATTAATGTGTGAGTAAAAGTCATTCATAAGTTTTTCACATGGACTGACTTGACTTTTTTTATTTTAATAAATGAGTCAAATTAGTCCGCATGTGCTTTAATGATCATCAAATAATGTTTTTTTCATGACCTATTGCAATGTAAAAAAAAAAATTGAGCAAAACGCAAGTTCGATCGATCAACTGCCTAGCAAGAGCAGAATAAGAGTAATGTAACAAAGATAGATATAAATATATATAGATAGATATATATAGAGAGAGAGAGAGAGAGAGCAAAATGCAAGAAACCCCCGACTGTCCAAAATTGGTGGATAACCCCCTAGACTAATAATTAGACATAAAACCCCTTGACAAACCTATTGTTGCAAAATTTAGTCCAAACTCAGTTTCCTATTAGAGATTACAAAATTACCTCCACTAAAACAAACAAGCAAAAAAAAAAAAAAATTACGTAAAAAAAAGATTATTTGAAATTACTAAATTGCCTATCTACATTACACTCTCTTCGCACGTATTCTCTAGGTTTTTTTTTTGCATTTTTTTCTTTGGTAATTTGTATTTAAGAAAACAAGGTGTGGCTTTTGAGGCTGGTGGTCCATTTGGTTGTATTTGTTCTTCAGAAATAGCCATATAAATATATGAATTTCTCTGCACCAGAAAGTCTGCAGATTGAGATGGAATTGAGAGGAATGAATGACTGCAAGTCAAACAAACAGCAGGACAAAGAAATCCAAGTAAGCCCTGTGCTTAATTTTAAAGAGACTCCAAGAAATCATGGAAGACAAAAATAAAAGCAGATGACTTAGAACTCGCATCAAATACAAGACCAACATAGTGATGAAGCTTTTGTGTGGGTCTTTAATGGCGAGCCTTATATTGGGTCTTCAACTTCTCTCCATCATCATCAAGCTCACCCATTGGTTTGATCAATCATTAACTCACAAATCAATAGGGCTCATATTTGTGTATTTGATTGTTGAAAATAAACTTGATTTTAGAATTTTAGTTGTAATTTGTATTTTTAAGTATTTGGTATATATGATGCATGTGTGAATTTAGCATATATGTTAGTGGGTAGTAAATTGTCTTAGTGGGAGTTAAAGTATTGTAAAAATCAAGAGTCATGAGAGTTACAACAAATAATGGTCATTTTAGTGGGTTAGTGGGAGTTAAGCCTAAAAGTTATGTTAGTGTGAGTAATTGGGCACTTAAATGTAATTGTTATACCTATGTTCATGTGGCCTATGTATTCATGTACTCTAATTGAATAATAGTAGAAGTGGAATAAAAATAATTTTTCAAATATTCCTCCATACCATTCTCTTCCAAATATTATAGTGTTGCATGTGTGTGTATCTATGCCACTGTTTCCAACAAAGTGGTATCAGAGTAAAGTCAGAAAGTGGTATCAGAGCAAAAGCCAACTAAGTGGTATAAGAGTCAGGTTCCAACATATCAGAGCCAGGTCATTATCAGAGCCAGATTTCATGTTCAGAGCCTAGACGATCCTGAAGGTCTGACGAAGTTGATCCTATAGAAGGTTCAACATTTTGAGAAAAACATGCTTCTCCTCGATGATGATGAAGAAGGGAAAATGTATTTTCTTAGTAAGAAGATAATGTTCTCTAATTACAAGAGAATAAGAATTATCATGACTTCATACCTCAAAACATGTGATTTGTGGGATGTTGTTGGGTTAGAGCCAAAGAATGGCATGTCCAACACGATTCATGTGAAGAAAGAAGAGAAGGCATTGGTAGTGTTACAAAAGGCAATACATCAAGAAATTTGGGAGTATTTTGGAGAGTCCAAAACTCTAAGTTGTATTTTGGAGAGTCCAAAACTCTAAGTTGTATTTAGA